GGAACTAACAATCAAAAATATATATATATCAAAGTTCGTTCCCGCGATTCATTCGGTGACAATAAAGTAATGAGACTGATTATATTGTCACGATTGTGGCAATCTTTGAATTCCCTTTCAGTTCTTCCGGCAACCTTCTCCCCTCCATTGATATATTTGCCATCCCTCTAGCTTGTTTAGTTCGCCTGCTGTATCGTGTTGAGTAAACGTGTGTTCGTGGTGCTCTTCACGAAAACGGAAAAACGAAATCAAGAGCAACGCGTCGCGATAAAATTTTGCGCCAAACGAAACGATCTCACGCTGCTTGATCGAGTTATTACAGGTAATGAGAGCTAGTTTTTTCAATACAACCCGAAAACCAAGCGCCAGAGCTCACAATGATAGTCTCCGCACGCCCCCCGCCAGAAAAAAGCTCGCATGAGCAAGTCGAAGGTGAACACAATGATTATTGCCTTTTTCGATGGCCGTGGAATCGTCCACAAAGAATTTCTTCCACCGGGGCAAACCATAAATCAAGTCTACTATTGCTAAATATCCGAAAGATTGAGAAAACAAGTCAATAGGGAGCGCACAGACATCGCTTGTAATTGAATCCTTCATCACGACAACGCGCCGTGCTACACGACCCAGGGTCCTATTATTTGGCTTCTAAAGGGATCGCTTTATTCGCCCGCTATTCCGTGACTTGTTTGTTCTTTGAGTCGATTGAGGACATCCAGGAGACCGTGATGAGGGTACTCGCGTACATCCCTGTCGAAACATTCCAGAAATGTTGCGTAGCATGGAAAACGCGTTGGAAACGTTGTATAGCTGATCAAGGGGGCTGCAGAGTTGTAGAATAATTTTGAAATATTGTATATGGTTTTTATGGAATCATTCTCATTTGTATTTAAAATGAAAGAAAGAATCACCAAAATGAATGCATCTCAGTCGAATAGTTGACAATAAAACAATGTTCGAACAAAGCAAGAACAGTTTTTCGAATACTACAAATAGAGCTACACCATTTGTGGTGACGTGATATTGGAATAATTTCTACATTTGATTAATAGTTATCAGATCTCAAATATGCTCTAAGCACTTGCGACTAATCGAAAATGTAATAAAATAAGAAATAAGTGCTGTCTTCAAATCGTTCATGAAATTATCTATATTACTGCAATGGACAAATTTCGATTTTGATTTCGATGATTGTCAGGATAACTATTTATTTGAATTTTCATATGTATGTGAGGTTCTGAGCTGCTGCTCTAATTTATGGTATGCGTCTTGATGTTTTTCCAACAAATGACGGGACCTACAGTTTCCTCTTGAAGCTCAACTCTAGATAAAAAGAGCAAAATTAATACGAAAGTAATGGTTATGTAAAAAATATAATTCCAGGTTTTTGCTGATTTTTAATTCCATTTTTACTATTGCCTCAAAAATGTGTTTTTTAGAATCAAAGTGAAGACTATTCTTACTTTTCGCCTTGCCCAATTATTACCAAGTTAGTTTATAGAAAATATTGTGGGAGTAACATTCTTTGGCTGGATAAAAATTCATGTCATTCCGGTATAAAGACCCGACCTTTAATAATAAGAATATATACCGTACCGAGGATAAACTCTTGAACTCCTAACGTGGAGGGATGTCAGCAACTATACCACGTCTGTGGATAGGGCCGAAGCAGAAAACACAAAAAACACTAAAAACTCTATACAAGGAAATTGACGAAAAATCATCAAGCGAAGGGATCTGTAGGCCTCACATTACATCCGTGTAAAATGCGCATAAGCAACAATGATATATGCAGGAAATGTAGTAAGATTAACATATAAGTGGGACGTTAGAAAACCTCCTTTGTTTCGATTGCTTAGCAGCTAGCTTGCAATCTAACCTAACCCTAAATTAAGCTCACAAAGTAAAAAAAAAATGAATTTCTTTCATATTCTAAAGTTTTTTTTAGCTGAGTAAGTTCTTAAGCCTTAGAAGAGCTTGACGACGTAAATACTTATTTATGTTTCCTTATAAAAGCGACGAGTTCGAGCCTTGGTTCAAGCAACATTGAAAAATTAAATATAGTTAATTTGCTAGTATATACTATAGTTCATTATTTTGTTCGAACATTTTCGAGCAGCAACGAGTACTCCCACACTCGATCTCGAGCATTTTGAGCAAACATTTTGACTTTTCTCTCGGAACTCCTTTCTATAACTTCCAGTTGGAATTTTCTAAAACCGATTTTTTTTAATATCATTGGCGTAATGTCTGAAAACTTCAAGTCGATCCGACTGTTATTTTGGAAGATCTACGCATATCTGCAACGACGCGTCAGAGCGTCGTTTTTCTCAAAACTATTTTTTTCAAGTCGTTGGCCAAGATTTCTCGGGAACGGCTGAACACATGAGTCTCATTTTTACACGGGCTTCTAAACGATATTTTTAGTGCTTAATCGATACATTAACGATGAAAAGTTTTTTTAGTGCGCAATTCAAGACCAAATTTGTGGAGAAAAATTTATTTTTTTGGTAAAAAAAAAAATTGTTTGCTTATTACTTCGATTAATCACAAGATTATACATTACTTCAACGAAATCCGTTTGATTTTTTTCATTTCAGATGATTCACTTCGGAAATCAATGGTCACCGCAAAACCTCTTCCTTGAGAGGGGTCGCTGGAAATCTACTGTAGCAGCTTCAAAAATTGTAATTTTTATAAATGAAAAATTGCTCACTACTCTTCATAGATGCCATGATATATGAACAAATGATCAAAATAATAAAGCTAAAGGTTTCTTCGTGAAAAATGTTTTAAAAACCTCATTTTTTAGGGCTTCTAGCTAGATATAACTCCTTAAATTGATTTATGCAAAGTGAAAAAATTATAAAAATCCTAAAGAAATTTTGGGAAACAAAATTAAAAATTGCAAGACTTCGAACAAAAACATGAACAGTTGATCAATGAGCGATTATCGAGCGAGTTTCGAGCTGCTCGCACTGCTCGATAACCGGGTATCTCAAGCTCTAATATATACATATATGTACATATATAATCTTGCATTGGAAATTTGTTATTATTTATTTCCATATTTTTTCTCTTTAATTTTCTTTTCATAAATTTTTTTTATTCCTTCTATTAAATTATTTTCTTATTTTTCTTTATTTTCTTTTTATTTAAATTTATTTTATTTTTATTTTTTTTCTTACTTTTTATTTGTTTTTTTCTTATTTTTTATTTTTTTGTCTTATTTTTTATTTTTTTTTTTCTTATTTTTTATTTTTTTTTCTTATTTTTTTTTTTCTTATTTTTTATTTTATTTTTTCTTATTTTTTATTTTTTTTTCTTATTTTTTTTCTTATTTTTTTTCTTATTTTTTTTCTTATTTTTTATTTTTTATTTTTTTGTTTCTTACTTTTTATTTTTTCTAATTTTTTATTTATGTTTTTTTATTATATTTTTTCTTACTTTTTATTTATGTTTATTTTATTAATTTTTTTCTTATTTGTTATTTATGTTTTATTATTATTAGTTTTTTTCCTTATTTTTTATTTATTTTTTATTATTAATTTTTTTCCCTATTTTTTATTTATTTTTTCTAATTTTTTCTATTTTTTTCTTATTTTTTTATAATTTTTTCTTATTTTTTCTTATTTTTTTATTTTTTTTATTTTTTTATTTTTTCTTATTTTTAAACTATATTTTTTTTAATTTTTATTTTAAAAATGTTTAAATATGTTTTTTTATTTATTTTTTATATGTTTATTATTTTTTCATTTTAATTTCCTTTTTTTAATTATTTTTCTTTTATTTTTTAATTATTTTTTATTTCTTTTTCTTATGTTTTATTTTTTTATTTTTCTACTTAATTTTTTACTTTATTTAATTTTTTATTTTTCTTATTTTTCTTATTTTTTTATTTTTTCTTATTTTTAATCTATATTTTTTTTAATTTTTATTTTAAAATTTTTAAATATTTTTTCTTATTTATTTTTTTTTATGTTTATTACTTTTTCATTTTATTTTTCTTTTTTAATTATTTTTTTATTTTTTAATTATTTTTTATTTTTTTTTTCTTGTTTTATTTTTTTATTTTTCTACTTATTTTTTTACTTTATTGAATTTTTTTTCAATTCTTATTTATTTTCTTTTTTATTTTTACCTAATTTCTTTTTTTATTTTTAATTTTTATATATTTTATTTATTTTTTTTTATTTTTACTCATGTTTTTTTAATGTATTTTCTTTTTTACTTTGATTTAATATCTTTTTTTTTATTTTTTTTTATCTTTTTATTTTTAATTATTTTCCTATCTTTTATTTATTTTTTCCTATTTTTTATTTTTTGTCTATTTTTTGCTTTTAATTTTACGTCTATTAAATTTATTTATTATTTTTTTCTTATTTTTTATTTTTTTCTTATTGCTTTGGTAGTTTTTTTATTTTATTTTACTTTTTATTATTTATATTTTTTCTTTTTCATTCCTTTAATATTTTGTAAATTCCTTGATAATGAACTTGTGGATTTGTTGTTGAAAATTCGCTGGTGTTGTTATTGGATCACGTACGCTGTACAATAAGATTGAAATTATTAACATGCATTAAATGCCACACTTTTTATAGCCACCTATGTACGTATGTATGTATTTCATTGTGTTGTTTTTTTTTTTTGTATTTTTTGCAAAAAGTCATAAATCTTCACCAAGCACATTTTATTGCCGCCGATCGCACACGCACCAAAAAGAACACCGAAAATTTAAAATTTACGAAATATGAAAAAATGTCATAAACATCACTACTAACTGCCAATTTCGGTTTAGGATTACATTGAAAACGACAAATCGCCGAATCAAACGTTTTCATCAGCCGCTTCCGCAAACTGTTTCCGCTTCACGAACGTTCGCCACCCGTGCTTAGCAAATGAGCGCCAGACTGTTAACTATTCCGCCTGCACACTAATGTATACATATGTATGAGTGAATGTATGTATGTACGTAAGAAAGAACAAGCCAGGTAACACACCCGCTGCAAAATATTAATCACCAACAGAAATTCACTTTAACGATCACTGAACAATCAATTCGAAAAATTGCGTCCGCCCGTTGTCGCTGCTGAAACTCAACTGATCGCTCGATAGGAGTCGCCTCATGAGCGTACAAGCAGCGGCATAAGAAAACTTTAATATTCGTAACCAAATCGGATAATACTCATTGTTGGAACAACAGAAACAAAAGAAAATGCAACAAAAAAAAATTACAAAAAATAACAACACAATAACAACAAACAATTGTTGGTAGCATAAAAAAGCACTTGTTAATAGTAATAACAACCGCAATGGCAATGGCTCTGTGGTGACGCTATTGGCTGTCACCACCACGATTAATAACCACTACACTCGCAGCGAGCGACGTTGGAAGCTTGTATGTATTGGTTGAAGGAAAAACATACCATGGATGTACATGCATATGTAGTGGAGGGGTGAGCACGTATTTGTATATTTTTGATCGGTTACGTGCTTTATAATTGAAAAACGACCCTCGGCAAATGAAAAATTACCCTTTCAGTTTAATTCTTCGAACAAAGAGCTGACGTCAGGTCCAACTATTCAGGAAAAGGTGACAATATGTATCTTCAGTCTCTTGATATCCGACTCGGTAATATCCGACTGTATCAAGAAATATTTACTCAGAATGTTAAACATATTTTCGGTTAACGGTCTGTTGGATTTTTCGTTTATCGAGGTGGATTCGTAGTTCAAAAAACTAAGCTGCGTAGTTACCAGTGATTCAGTTGCGATCTCAAAATTAGTCTGATCCCTTTAAGCAATCCTTAACAAGCCTTGAGAGCGGCATACTTATACGTTGATAAGAATAATCCATTACTAGGTGACACTCCAAGTGATGACGATGAAAAAATTGTTGTTTCATCACCCGACTATGACGAGGTTCGAATAGCAATCGTCTGCTTAAAAAACAACAAAGGGGGAGGGACCGATAGATTACCGGCCGAGCGGTGAAGAACTTACAAGGCGCATGCATCAGCTTCTTTGCAAAATATGGTCGGATGAAAGCATGCCCGACGATTGGAACCTGAGTATACTCCGCCCAATCCACATGTAGCGCGATCCCACAGACTGCGCCAATAACATGCAAAACTTATTCGACTGTGTAAACTGACGCTAGATAACACCAGAAGTGCCGTCAGAATTGGGAAGGACCTCTTCGAGTTGTTCGATACCAAACGAAGTCTTAGACAGGGCGACTCTTATCGTGCGATTTCTTCAATTTGTCATCACACAAACAGTCATTGCATTCACGACTTGGCTCCCACGTCACTGTTGACAGTCATAACTTCGAGGTTGTAGATAACTTCGTCTATCTTTATTAACACCAATAACAACGTCAGCCTTGAAATCCAACGCAAAATCACTCTTGCCAACAGGTTTTACCTTGGACGGAGTAGGCAATTGAAAAGTAAAGTCCTCTCTCGGCGAACGAAAACAAAACTCTACAAGTCGCTCATCATACCCGTCCTACTACATAGCGTAGACGCGTGGACGGTGTCAACATCTGATGAATCCGCACTGAGAGTCTTCGAGAGAAAAATTTTGCGAACAAATTACGGTCCTTTGCGCATTGGCAACGGCGAATACCGCAGACAATGGAACAATGAGCTGTACGACCTATACGATGATATTGACATAGTTCATCGAATGAAGAGATAGCGGCTCCGTTGGCTCGGTGATGTCGTCCAAATGGATGAAATCATTCTAGCTTTGAAAGTATTCGATGCAGTACCCGCTGGTGGAAGGAGAGGGAAGGAAGACATCCACTCCCTTGGAAGGATCAGGTGGAGAAAGACCTGGTTTCACTTGGCTACGGGCAGATCTTTATACCGAAACAACCCGGGGTTTTATCCGCCCAAAAAATATCACTCCCGCAACATTCCCAAAAACCTACTTTGGGGAACATTTTTTGGAGCTGCAACAGCAACAGCCCGAAGGGAGATCAGGCATGCATTGATTAGGCTTTACCGCATCTTGTGTGCGTTCAAAATTAGTATAGCTGTCAGTTGCTTTCTTTATTGCTACCAATCCCAATTGAAATAGCTGGTCTCAAATTCTGAAATTGGGATCGATATTGAGCTTAACTTAACGTCGATCTAGCCATGTTAACGTTTAATTTGCTCATCATTGCCGGAAGGTGGCGAGGTGTCTGTCAGGAAATAGTTCAGAGATCCAGTGCTCTATACAGACAGGGAAAAAGCTAAGCATGGTTGAATGGTGCCGTCTCCAGAGCTGAAGCTCAGTAGTAACTTCTCTAATGCAATTATTCAGCTTCCACAGCGACACATTTAATGTCCTTAATGCTTCAGCGAGCGCAGTAACCGAGCAGTTTGCAACGCGTACTACCACTCGGAAGGCCCATAAGGTTCAAATCCGGGTGCGACCAACGTCCAAAAGTTGTAGAAAATAAAAAATTGAGTTAAATTTTCTAATCGCGGTCGCTCCTCGGAAGGGAATGTCAACACCTCCGAGTGTATTTCTGACATGAAATAAAGATTCCTCATAAGAAAAACATGAGTCCTTTGGAAGCGGCTTAGTATAAACTGTAGGTCTCTCCATAGGTTAGAAAAACATCAAGATGCAAAACCGCAAATTGGAGGAGAAGCTCGGCCGAAAATCGCTGCAGCGCTTACAGAGCGCCACTCTTAACACTTAGGAAGCATAAACTTATATTTTATAACGAGATCAGTGAAAAAAGCATCGGGAAATTTGTTTATTTCCAAAAAAATATTTATTTATTCATGAATACACGGTGTGTCCCAAAAATAACCGAACTTTATATTTAAATCATACAACATACACCGCCATCTATTGAAAATTTGCAACATTAAAAAGATAAATTCATCCTCTTTCAAAAGCACATAACATCATGTAAGGCGGATGACAGATGTAAAAGTCTGCTTATGGTTCAAAAATAAAATGGAACAAAGAGCAAATATAAAATCTTGTGTCAAACTTGAAAAAAAAAATTAATGAAAAAAGTTTATTGTGATGATTGTATGAGTCGTACGCAAGTTTATACGTGGTTTACACGATTTAAAAGAGGTGGTGAGAATTTAAATGACGACCCTAGAGCAGAACGTCCAGAAACTAGTAATCGTGCTGAACTGGTGGAAAAAGTCCGTGAAATCATTGGTATCGATGCAAATTTTACTACGAGAATGTTGGCTGAGGATTTGAATACGAGTAAAAACACTATTTGGAGAATTTTAACTGAAGATTTTGGGAAAAGAAAGGTCTGTGGGCAATTTGTTCCTCAAGAATTAAATGACAACCAAAAAATCGCTCGAATTTTTAATGAAAAAAGGGATTTCTCTCGTCGACATCCTCCGTATTCGCCTGATCTATCACCATGTGACTATTTTTTATTTCCAAAACTGAAAACCAAGATGAAGGGAGAATTTTATGATGATATCCCAGCCATGCAAGCAGCCGTAACCGAGGTACTGAAAAACATTTCTATAAATGACATAAATAAAAAAATCTATGCATGCGCTGGTTGATCGTTCCAAACGTTGTGTTGAGTCAAATGATAATATAATGTGTATTTTATTTTATATCCAAAAAGTTCGGTTATTTTTGGGACACACCGTGTATATTGATTATTAACATCTTTGGGATTTCCCAACGCATTTTAAAAATCATTTCATAAAATGTTCAATGTGAATTTCAAAAAGATTTAAAGCAAAAAATTCAACAAAATTAATGTTAGGTTATAGGTGCCAGAGTTGCCATTAATAATTTTGTAGAGGAATAATTTTAAAAGCAAAATACAAGAAAGAAGAGTTGTTTTTGGACAGATCTTCATTTCTTGCATGACCATATAAAATGTATGGTATTTTATTGTATTTGGAATTACAAATTAATTCTCACATGATTTTGATGATTTTCGGTGTAAATGTTTATTTGCATATACGTGTGTGGAATATAAAATTTCAAACTTTTAGATGCTTTTCTGACGGAGCTTTTGGCCCAAATTCTCTTATCTGAACAAATCAACTGTATGGGGTCTATAGTGTATGTTGTAGTGGTCCGATCTGAGCGGTTCCTACAAATCATTAATCTCAATATATGAAAAACACTCAAAAACGAGTCAACTGATTTTCATGAAAGTTGCCATATATGTATTATTTTTTCCAACTTAGATGATGGGATAGTTATTATTGAAATTAATGGTCTGAACAATTAATAATTAATTAAAAACCGATCAGCAACGGGTGTGGTCGAGCCTGTTCGATCAAGCAACGAAAATGTTGGAGACAATCAACTACGAGACTTTATATATATACTATATATATAGTACTTTTGAGTTTGAGCAGATAACTTGAAATTTAGTATATTATATTGATATCTTACATCCCGTTTTGGCTGAGACTGATTTAATGTGATCGAAGTGAACATTCGAGTACAGCCTCGTGCTGCACACTCGCGTATTCAATTGAATATACACAAACAAAAACGCAGACATGTGGGCGCCGTGGCGTCCTTCTTTCTGGCTGTTCAAATGAATCAAAATTATTTTTGAGTAAAACACGAAAATATATAATTCTTGCTTCCAAATGACGTCGTTTGTAGCATCCAAAGTTTATGATTTGTCAGCTGATGATCGTAATTTTGAGACAACATTCAAAATTCAGGGCAAGCTAAACAAGTACCATGGAAGGGATCTCCGACATTTTGACAAAAATTATTATTTGGGTACAAGATTCGAACGTTCTTATACGTTTTATTGATATTTACATGGAAGACTTTAAGTAGATAATAAGCGACTCAACTGAGTATTAGAGGGCACTTAATAATGGCTTTTTATCGTTTGACAAAATCCAGAAAGCCACAACAACGTGTGGCCGGGTCTGCTAGTACAGTATAAAAATACCTCGGTTTACTAAGTTCGGTTGGAATATCTCAAAAACTGAATAACTAGTTTGTATACAAACAGACGCACTTGGGTAAAACCGTCGGTATAAATATCGGTGTGTCTATCTACTCTTCTTCTAGTACTTTTGTATGTACATACTGCGATCCAACGTTAATATACCAATTCTTGTTCATGAAAGCATTTTTCTGGAAATAAAAGAACTCCGCAAGAAAATTTGGAATCTAAACATTATTATTGCTACAGCAGAAAAGCTTTGAATATAGCGCCACCTATACAGTGTGTCCCAAAAATAACTGAACTTATTATATATCTTTGAAAGTTATTATTTATTCAAAATAGGTTCCATTTGACTCAACACAACGCTTGGAACGATCAACCAGCGCATGCATAGATTTTTTTTTATCTTATTTATAAAAATGTTCTTCAGTACCTCGGTTACGGCTGCTTGAATGGCTGGGATATCATCATAAAATGCTCCCTTCATCTTGGTTTTCAGTTTTGGAAATAAAAAATAGTCACATGGTGATAGATCAGGCGAATACGGAGGATGGTCGATGAGAGAAATCCCTTTTTTCATTAAAAATTCGAGCGATTTTTTGGTCGTCATTTAATTCATGTGGAACAAATCGCGCACAGACCTTTCTTTTCCCCAAATCTTCAGTTAAAATTCTCCAAATAGTGTTTTTACTCGTATTCAATTCCTCAGCCAACATTCTCGTAGTAAAATTTGCATCGATACCAATGATTTCACGGACTTTTTCCACCAGTTCAGCACGATTACTAGTTTCTGGACGTCCTGCTCTAGGGTCGTCATTTAAATCCTCACGACCATTTTTAAATCGTGTAAACCACGTATAAACTTGCGTACGACTCATACAATCATCATAATAAAATTTTTTCATTAATTTTTTTTTTCAAGTTTGATACAAAATTTTAAATTTGGTCTTTGTTCCATTTTATTTTTGAACCATAAGCACACTTTTGGTTTTATTGAAATGACTGTCACTTTTACATCTGTAATCCGACTTACATGATGTTAGGTGCGTTTGAAAGAGGATGAATGTACATATCTTTTTAATGTTGCAAATTTTAAATAGATGGCGCTGTATGTTGTATGACTTAAATATAAAGTTCGGTTACTTTTGGCACACACTGTATAGACAAACACAGCAAGAATACTGCATCTAACTGACCGTTGTCGTACAACAATAAAGGAATAATATTAAAAAATATGCATACATACATATGTAAAGCATACATATGTATGCAATGTGCAATTTATACAATCTTCTACACCTACATACATACTTATGTACGATATGCACTTTATCTTTGCTATCATTGAGTATTTTGACTTTTGTCTTTTTAATGTTTAAT